ATGGCCCAGCTGAAAATCGCTCAAGGTACCCAAGGGGGAGGAAACGCCGGCGCGTCGCTGCGGTGACCGGCGGGCAGGGCACAGATACTTGCAGTCGGGCGCTGTGTATGGGGCCATAGTGTAAAAGAAAGGGGGATCCTGTGTCCCTGCTGTTTTCCTAGCAGGAATTCAGGCTAGTGACGTGAGCGGAGGGAAGTGTCGCCTCCGAGCACGCGCTTCCTCTCTCCTAGGCAGCGTCACCAAAGCCTGCATCATCCTGAGGAGCATCGAGGAGCTGCAGCACAAGCCTGGCATGGTAAGCGAAGCTCCCTGGGAGCCCCCTGAGTCCCCTGGAGAATTGGTCGCTCCTTTCCTGTCGTGTTATTGTCCACAAGGGGATTTGAGCCCAGCTTCCTCGTGTTGGGCAAAGCTGGGGATACAGTTTGCATCAGGTGGCCTGACCTGGTACCTGAAGGTACTTTGCCTGTCAGCAGGGATGCCCTTGACCTGCTCTCCCTCTTTGCACTGCCTGCGTTTCCTGCTGTAACATCCCTGGAGCAGCTGCTTACGTTGCCCGAGCAGCTGGGAAGTTTTAGAAGCTGCTTTAGGACACCAGGCATTAGGGAGAAGACCTCGTACCCCATCCCTTCAGCATGACCCCTGCCTGTGATTGGATATAGAGCAAACAAGTGGTGTCTGCATCTCGTAGAATCAGGGTCACCTACTGCAACTGTAAGCCGTGATCTTCAGTACTGGCTTCTTGTCTTGCAAGTTCCTGGCAAGGAAATGGGAGAGGAAGTGCTTGCCTCTTGAGGAGACCTGACTGTAGAGAAGTGTGTTGTGTGAACGCTCTCCTAACACTGCCCTGCAGGAGGAGGATTGGCAGGGACCTTTTCGTGGGAGTAACCTGGTTAGGAAGCTGGCTCTCCTGCTTGTCACCGCAGGCAGCTCTTAAGAGCACTGAGCGAGGAGCTCATGCTGCCTCCCTTTTGGGGAAATCCCTTCAACAGCTGCTGACTTCCTGGCCACAGACCACTTGCCTGAGGATCTGCTAAAAGCTGCTCTTGAACGTTTGCAGGTGTCCGCGCTGGTGACAATGTACAGTCACGAAGAAGACATAGACAGTGCAATCGAGGTCTTCACGCAGGCCATCCAGTGGTACCAGCAGCACCAGGCAAGTCAGGGCATGCAGAGCGCAGGGCTTTAGTTTCTTTCCAGCTTGTCCAAACATGGGCTTTTCCCACCACTGCGTGGCCCCGGCAGCTCATCTGGTCGGGATCTTGGAGACCCGAGAGCTGCCGGGGTTGTTTCTCACGCTGCGCCCGGCTGCGTTTGCTTTGATACTGTTTTATTAGCGAGCAGGGGCTGAAAGGCGGCCCCTGGCCCCGCTCCCTGCCCAGCTCCGTCCCCGGCGGCAGCGGAGCACCGGCTGCAGCTGCTGCTGTGTCTTTCAGCCCGAGTCTCCCGTGCACCTGTCGCTCATACGGGAAGCTGCCAACTTCAAGCTGAAGCACGGCAGGAAGAAGGAGGCCATCAGTGACTTGGAGGAGCTCTGGAAGTGAGTCGGGGAGCTGCTCAAAGGGCGAGCAGGTGCCTGCGGGTGCCTCGTGTGGCTGGGGCCAGCAGCCCTCCTGGAGGGTCATATCCGCCCCGCAGCTCTGGTGCAAAGTGGGACCTTCTGCTAGCAGGACCTGGTGGGGTTTCCTCCCTGATCGCTGCTTCCCGGTACTTCGGAGGCCTCTCCGTGCCCCACTTGCCCGCGTTGGTGACGTGTGGCACTGTGCCCAGGCCTGGCAAGTGTGTCCCCAAGGCAGCAGCGGGGATGAGCCTTGCTGACCGGAGCTTCCTTTCCTTACCCCCAAGGCAAAACCCAAAAGACGTCCATACACTGGCGCAGCTCATCTCTGCCTACTCCCTCGTGGACCCCGAGAAGGCTAAAGTGTATCCTTTGAGAAGGGGGAAGGAAGAGGCATATTGGGTTTTGGCTGCCTCAACTTCAGCCACATGGCTGATTTGGGCCTCCTCTCAGAAGAAGAAAAGCGAGGCAGGTGCCAAGAACAGCTGCATGCCCAGGCCAAGCCCTCTGGAGTTGCTTCGTGTCCTCACTGTAGTTGTGTTCCCATGGCTCCCCAGGTCTCTTTTGTCCCTGGGCACCTCCTCCTTGAGGAGAAGTGTCCCAAGGCTAGGAGGAACCAAAACCAGAGGGCTTTTCTGTTGAAAACTGGGTGGTAACGCAGTGGCTGTACCCAACCAAACACGGCAGTACTCTCGTTGGCCAAATTCAGCTTTTTCCTCCCTCAGCAGCTGCTGCTTCTATCCCCATCTCAGAGGAAGGGTAAATGAGGCAGGGGGATGTTGAGCAGCTGCTCCCAGCACGTGCAGGGGGCTGGTGGGGCCGCTCTGCCCGGTCCTGCGCCACCCGCGAGCTCAGTCCCTGCTGCCCTGCAGCTGCGGTGTCCCCTCCCGTGCCTGCCCCGCGCTACCAACCCTGCTGTGGACCCCTGAGCTCTCCCTTGGCAGTCTCAGCAAGCACTTGCCTTCCTCGGACACCCTGTCCCTGAAAGTAGATGTGGATGCGCTGGAGAACTCCCACGGAGCAACTTACGTTCGGAAGAAAGCGGGGAAGCTCGCTGGAGACAACCAGCAGAAGGAGCAAGGGTAAAGGCACCGCTTTTGCCCTCCTCTGGGGTGGCAGAGGAGCCCGCGAGTGGCCGCACTGAGGGAACGGGAGCGCAGCGGGAATTGGAGCAGCAGCAGCAAACCTGAGCTGGGGGAGACGGGGGCGCTTCAGCTGCTCTCGGGGGTGGCTTCTGCTTGACTTGTCGCACTGTCGGTGCTGTGACACAGCTGCCCCTTCCCCTCTTCTCCCTTTGCAGACAAGGGGATGTGAAGAAGAAAAAGAAGAAGAAGAAGGGTGAGTTGTTGTGCTTCCCAGCGGTGGGCAAGGCGCTGCTCCAGAGAGCCCCCCACAGCCCTGAGCTCCCCCGGGGGCTGGAGCTCTTTGTCGGCGCCCCGTGAAACCAGCTGCACTCGAGAGTTTCTTCTGAACGGGGCTTTTCCCCGCAGAAGTAGCTCCTGGCCGAGGGGCTGGATGAGGGAAGGGGTCCTTGTTGCCGCCTCGCTAGTGTGTTGACCCCGCTGCCATTCCCTTGTCCTGCCTGTTCTGCAGGAACGCTGCCCAAAAACTACGACCCCAAGGTGACGCCAGACCCTGAGCGGTGGCTCCCGATGCGGGAGCGCTCCTACTACCGCGGGCGGAAGAAGGGCAAGAAGAAGGACCAGGTCGGCAAGGGCACCCAGGGCTCGACGACGGCCGGCTCCGAGCTGTGAGTAATCGCTGAGGGCAGTCAGGAGCGGCGACCGTGCTGCTCCCCTCGGTCCTGCCGCCCTGCGCTCGTCCAGTGGGTGTCTTCTCCCCCCCGTCCCCTGCAGCGATGCCAGCAGGGCCGCCAGCAGCCCCCCGACGTCCCCTCGGCCGGGCAGTGCTACAGCCATCTCCGCCGCCAGTAACGTCATCCCCCCCAGGCACCAGAAGCCAGCAGGGGCCCCGGCCACCAAGAAGAAACAGCAGCAGAAGAAGAAGAAAGGGGGGAAGAGTGGGTGGTAGAAAGCGGGGAGCGGAGCCTCCCTCCCCTGAGGCTGCCGGCTGTGGAATAAAGATGAAAAGTGGTGGCCAGAGGGTCCTGGTGTCCCCAACACCTCGTGCCTGTCTGCTCGGTGCGTGGCTGTGGCCTCGCTGCAGCTCGTCTTGCTGCCTGGGACCGCAGCGGGGCTCTGCCGTGCGGCCTCCTCGTATGCGTGACACCTGGACGCGTGGCCGAGGGGCAGCAGTATCCAACTGTCACCTTGGCTCATCACGGAGGGGCAGAGGCTTTCACCAGCTAGAAAGGGCCCCTTCAGAGAGGGGTGTCAGCCTTGGGGCTGAAGGTTTCATAGAATCACAGAATGCTTAAGGTTGGAAGGGACCTCTAGAGGTCATCTAGTCCAACCCCCTGCACACGCAGGGTCACCTAGAGCACGTGGCACAGGACTGCGTCCAAGCGGTTTGGAGATCCTCCAGAGAAGGAGACTCCACAACCTCTCTGGGCAGCTTGTTCCAGTGCTCTGGCACCCTCACTG